TGGGGGGGGGTCTCTGCCGGGCCCCGGCCCGGGGGCGGGGCTGGGGGCAGCCGCTGAACCCCCCGGGTGGGGTGGGAGATGGGGAGTGTGTGTCCACCCCCAGGGTGGGAGACAGGGCGGGTCTGTGTCTGCCCCCAGGGTGGGCAAAGGGAGTCTGTGTCTGCCCCCAGGGTGGGCAATGAGGGGTCCGCACCTGCCCGCCCCTCTTCCCTGGGAAGGACGGGGGGATCTGTGCCTGCCCCCCTCCCCCAGGGTGGGCTGTGGGGGTCTGTGCCAGACTGGCCACCCACCCAGGGGGGGAGATGGGGGTCTGCACCTGCCCCGCAGGGCAGTTGGGGGTTCCAGCTCCAACACACTCATCACACTCATTTTTCCTCCCGTCGCCCAGTGCCTGGATGGCATTGACTACGATGACTTCAATTTCGGCTCCCACATGATGGAGCAGAAGGAGCCTCTGATGGAGACAGGTAAGGGCCCCACTGGCTGTGCCCTCTCGGGGGTCCCCAGCTGCAGCGGGGTTTCCCCGCAGGCTGACTCACGCCTTGTAGTTCCCAGCAGCACCACGGGCCGCGTCCCCACAGGCCCCACTGTGGGCTGGCTGGGAATCCCTGCCCCATGCCAGTGGGACGGGGACTGTTTGGTCTGGCCCTGATGCTCGGTCTACCAAGGACGTGAGGTTGGGCTGTGACAGGTCCCCAGGGGCTCCCCGCTCCCTGAGTGCCCGAGCATCCTCTGGCCCTCCCCTCTTCTCCCTGCCACTCCGACTGCTGCTCCCAGCTGGGCTCTGACAGCACAAGGGCCAGGGGACCTGAGGACCCCCATGGGACAGACAGGGGTCACCTCACCTTCAGCACAGTCCCCGTACCTCCAGCATCCTTACTGGGAGCACACACTTTGGTTACCCTGTGTTTCTCACTGGTTCCTCTCCTCTCTGTCCTCCAGCGGAAGGTCCCTACCTTGTCATCATCGAGCAGCCAAAGCAGGTAAGGATGTCACCCAGGTAAGGGCAAGCGTAGCTGTCACGCCATGCTCTCACAGTGTCGGCTGTGGGCCACCCTTGGCTGATTCCCTCTTTGCCTCCGCAGCGGGGGTTCCGGTTTCGGTACGGCTGCGAGGGCCCTTCACACGGAGGGCTGCCGGGAGCATCCAGCGAGAAGGGGCGCAAGACCTATCCCACCGTTAAGGTGAGCGCTGCCCTGGGGAGGGGATGGGGCAGCATCTTCAGCCAGTGTGCACGGGCACCGGGAGGGTGCCTTGAAGGAAGCACAGTAAATGTATATTAAGCTCAGTGTGTCTGCTGGTGCTGGAAGGATGGGAGGGCTGTGGCAGGAGGGGTGGTGGCCACGGGGAGGCATAGCAGGGGTTTCCAGAGGGTTCCGCAGGCTCCCGGGGACTCCCATCTCCTTTCTACCCACAGATCTGCAACTACACGGGGATGGCCCGGATCGAGGTGGACCTGGTGACACACAGCGACCCTCCCCGTGTGCATGCCCACAGCCTGGTGGGCAAGCAGTGCAACGAGGCTGGCAACTGCGTTGCGATCGTGGGACCCAAGGACATGACGGCTCAGTACGTGCAAGGGAGACGCACGCGAGGGTGGTCGGGGGGGGCTGTCTGCATCTTACAGGTGGGGGAAAAGAGGAGGGTTAGTGCATCCACGAGCGGGGTTTGCTGGATGGGGCCAGGAGCGGGTTTAGACAAGGTCATCGGTACAGCTCTGTCCCCTGAGCATTTTGCCCAGCTCTGGGTCCGGCACGTGCGGCTGGTTTTGGGCTTCTGTCTTCAGGGTTACAGCTCCACAGCTTTGCAGATGACTTCTGTAGCCAGCCTGAGTCACGGGCTTATTCCATAAGCAGTGATGGGCAGCTCTGTGCCCAGGCAGCTGCTGAGGCAGGAGCGGGCAGGCCCCTGGCAGATCAGGTCCCCATGTGCCCTGATGCTGCTGGTCCAGCAGCTCCATTTGGAGAAGCGGATATTTTCCCTGAGTTTTCTGCTGGAGTGGGGCAGGAGGAGCGGGAGCTGCATGCACTTTACTGCTGCAGTTGCTCTCACAAATCCAGCCCTGGCTGCTGGCTCAGCCTCATACCATTTGCATCCCTCTGGTCTCCAGCCATCCTGGTGCTCTCCTTTGGACTTGTCACCTATGGGAGCCCAGAGATTCCCAACCACCTTATTTCTGGGCTCCTTCTCTCTCCTCTGTGGTTGCTCCTCTTATGCCCCGCACATGCTGACCCCCCACTGCCCGAGCGGCACCGCTCTGTGCTTTGCTCAGCTCCTTCCTGGCCGTGGCAGCCCAGGTGCCCCCTGGGCCGGCTGCTCCCAACCTGGTGCTCCCAGGTCCCAGTGGGATCCCTCTTCTCCTTCAGGTTCAGCAACCTGGGTGTGCTGCACGTCACCAAGAAGAACATGATGGAGATCATGAAGGAAAAGCTGAAGCAGCAGAAGATGCGCAACAGGAGCCATCTGCTGACAGGTGAGGGCAGGCTGTGGGTTCAGTGGGACATGTCACCCTAGGGGGAGCAGGGACCTGCTGTGGGGTGACAGCTGGAAGGCCGGAGGGGACCAGACGGGGGGACCTGGAGCCCTGTCCCCTTCGCCTGCCCTGACGGCATCTCCCCCTGCCCTGGCAGAAGCAGAGCTGCGTGAGATTGAGCTGGAGGCAAAGGAGCTGAAGAAGGTGATGGACCTGAGCATCGTGCGGTTGCGCTTTACTGCCTACCTCCGTGACAGCAGTGGGAACTTCACACTGGCCCTCCAGCCCGTCATCTCGGACCCCATCCATGACAGCAGTGAGCGTGGGGCCAGGCTGGGGAGGGGATGGGGCAGGACAGGGTAGGGAGGTGAGGGATGCTCTGTCTGCTATGGCGGCTCCCAACGCCTCCTCGCTCTGCAGAATCCCCAGGAGCTTCCAACCTGAAGATCTCACGGATGGATAAGACGGCAGGCTCAGTGCGGGGAGGGGACGAGGTCTACTTGCTGTGCGATAAAGTTCAGAAAGGTAAGAGCTGTTCCCTCCAGCTGAAACCCTGCAGAGGGGCTGCAGCAGGAGAGGTCCATGTCCCAGGGCCCCTGGGTGGCCTGGGTACCATGTCCCCAGAGCCTCACTGGGGTGGGGAGACACACAGTGCTAGATGTCCCTTCTCTCCCCAGATGACATTGAGGTGCGTTTCTACGAGGATGACGAGAACGGCTGGCAGGCCTTCGGGGACTTCTCCCCCACAGATGTGCACAAGCAGGTACAGGGGAGGTGGGGGGGCGTCCTGCCGTGCCCCAGGGCAGGTGGGTGCCCTGCAGGGTGGGGGGACACCTCTCCCTGGCTCTGCGGAGGAGCGGGACCCCACATCCGTCTGTCCTGCCCACAGTACGCTATTGTCTTCCGCACGCCCCCCTACCACAAGCCCAAGATCGACCGCCCCGTCACCGTCTG